GAACTCATCGGAGTGAGGGCTTCATGAAGGGGTGTGCGGCTCCCCGTGAGCTGTTCTTAGCAAGGGCTCAGAGGGTAGTCGGACCGCCATGACTAGGAATGAAGACTGACTTTGCTCTGCTTGTCGGGTTGGGTCACCGGAGGAGCCCACTAGGGTGAGTAGGGGTACTCTTGGAAGGCCGAAAGGTAAGACTCTAAGAGTGAGTGAGGAAGGGGTGTTGGCAATGGTCTTTAGGGGAGACCCTTTTCTCGTATTTTTTTTTGGCATGACATGATCTCTGTTTTGCAGGTACCCTACAGCCAGCCAGATGAAGACAACGGGGTTTGGTATGACCCGACAGTAAGCGGCACAGAGGCAGCAGACAAAGAGAAAGGGGTTTGGTATGTTTCCCCCTTATGATGCAGCCTTTGGTTAAGATGACCCAGATGATCCTGAGTTCGATGATTAGTCCCATATCCACCCGTGGCTGGACTGTAACTGAGATGTTGATGAGGATTATATTGTGCCGATGAGATGGACTGATCCGATGAGGTTGAGATGAGCAGGCTAGGACTGAGACTTGGATGCTAGGCCGGACCTAATGATAGGGTTTGGTCTAGGATTGGGTCTGATTGTGATGATGCACGAGATCAAACCTAATGAGAGGTTTGACCTAAGATTGAGACTGATTTCGTAGTGCAAGAAAACGGGATTGATAGCATGATTGGGCTGCATGCGCGGTCATGATATTTGCGTGCGGTGACTGCACCACGCAAGCTTGATGAGACTAGTCCTTCTTTGATTTTGATGGTGGCTTGGACCAGAGGTCCATGCCTTATTGAGCAAGCACTCGAGCCCTAGCGGGCGAGCACTTTGATGATTGAGATATGTTTTTATATGATGCCTCTATATATCAGATAACATACGAGGCCGCACAGTTCAAGCTGGCATATGAATAATAGCGCAAGTATGAGGCACAAGCGATGGTTGGGCGGCGCAGCTTGACGGGCGACGGGCGGATCTGGTACACGTGGCAATGGCGGTGGAGCAGGGCGAGGCGGCTATGGCAGGATGGTGAGCTGGCGAGGGTGAGGTAGTACATCATGGACCTAGGCGATGGAGTGCGACCGCGCCGGTCCTCTGAGCGATGGCGCAAGCGCGTTCCTTCCCATCTCTCCTCCTCCTCCTCTTCAGATCTCTCCTCCTCGTATGTCAGATTGATTGGTCGATCTGGCGCCTTCCCCTGCCGGCCCCCTCTCCCGCATCCAGCGCCCGAGCCTTGCGTCTTTGGCGCCATGGCAAAGGCTGATTAGCCGCGCGACGATAAGCGATAGCGTGGCAATAGCGCAGCAAGTTGAGCGCGATGAAAGCAGTGGCAGTCGCGAGAGCGTAATGGCGCAACACACTTAACGATGCGAACTCTAGTGAGAATGATGAGAGCAAGTAAGCCATTAGGCTCTTTATAGTAGAGGAATCCTGGCGGGGATGCCAGGAATGGAGTTTGGTATGGTTGTCGGACAGCGGCGAGCCGCGTCAACGTATAGTTGACTCGTCGCGGCCAGCCTCCGCACCATAGGACTCCATATGGTCACGATCAGCAGAATGTTGACACGCTGGTTGGCCCTTGGGTGAAGTCAGCGGACAAGACGGCGCGACGGTCCAGCCCCATGGAGATCAAATCACGGCTTTTGGGTTGAACCGCCGCGTCTGCAAGCGCCAGATTAGTAGGGCCCAGTCCGAACGGTACTGAAAATGGACCAAGGGCTAATGTGAAAATAGAATTGACCACTTGGGACCGGGTTTGCCGCATCGGGGAGAGTACGGCCCGAAATGGTCAAAGGGGAATACGGGATTGGGCCCCTTATTGAGAATAAGAGGGGCATTTTATTTTTTTTGAAAACAAGGCCGACCCTTAGTATTCCAAAGTCGGGCCAGCCCAAGCCCGACGCTAATTTTAGCATTGGTCCGTGCTATTTTTAGCGTTGGCCGCGCTATTTTTGGCACAGGCCTGAGTTATTTTTAGCACAGGCTCGAGCTAGATATAGCGCAGGCCCACACTTATTTTAGCATGGGGCTGACTGTCCGTATCCCAAGGTCGGGGCTGTCCCAAGTCCCGCGCTATTTTTAGCCAAGTCCCGCGTTATTTTTAGCGCAGTCCCGTGCTAATTTTAGCAAAAGCCTGCGCTATATTTAGCGCAGGCCCGTACTAATTTTAACATGGGACTGACTGTTCCTGTCCCAAAGTCGGGACTGTCCTTGTCCCGTGCTAATTTTAGCGCAGTCCCGCGCTAATTTCAGCACAGGCCCGCGCTATGTTTAGCGCAGGCCCGTGCTATTTTTAACACAGGACTGACTGTTCGTGTCCCAAAGTCGAGACTGTCCGAGTCCCGTGTTAATTTTAGCACAGTCC